AGTTGGAATCAGTTTATTTATGCTGATTGATTCCTGAGATGCAGATCAAAGTTAGCTATGTCTAATGAAATCCACCTGGAATATATTGATTTGACTTTAAAATAATGGAACTCTCAAATGCTTTTTTTCCTCTGGAAATATAACTATATACCCTTAAGGGAAATTGACAACTCACTTTGTGATTTCTTGAAAGAGTTCTAGATTTATTAATCACATGTTGCTTTCCAAATGTTTTCATTTCGTTTATTTCATTTCTCATCATCTTCTAGCATGTCCAGTGGCAAGGGATTATTGGAACAGTATTTATTTTAGGGATTTAAAAAAATTATGTGCCTCCCTTCAAAATAAATTATCTTTCTCTGGGCAGCTTCAAGCTAGTATCTTTAAGCTAAAAGCCAGTATCCTTAAGCTAAAACCAGAAGGATCATATACACAATAAAACAATAAAGCAAACCAAAAATAGAAACAATGGCTAAGGAGCAGGAATAAGATTAATTAACATGTTTATCTTGGCCTTTTAAAATATATTCAGGGTTTTACTTTTTCAATACATTTAGAGTGCATTTATTGCTGAATTTTATCTTTTTTTTCCTAGTTTGTTGCTTTGAAGTATTGGGCTAAGTAATAATTTCATTTAAATGACTGAACTTTATCTGTGTGCTTGAGATCACAAACTTTTTGCTCTCTCCAATTTGTACCTAGATTTGTCATTTAGTTCCAAGGCAGGTTACTTTTGAATTTCCCTTGCTTTTTCCTTCTTCAAAATCAGAATCCTGTCATTCATAAATTAATTGGTCCTTCATCCTTATAATTTAGAATAGGAATGGCCTGGAAGGAGACCAATGAATTTAAAAAGTGTCATTGTTATGTAGATATAGATTTTATTAGGTTTAGTTGTATCTATAGCAGACATGTCAAACTCGCGACATTATGTGACGTCGCGCAACGTATCGGGACGGTTTTGCCATTGCCAGCAATGGGGTGAGTGCGGCTTCCATGTGACGCGTCAGGCCCATGGGCTGGCAGTTTGACACTCCTGATCCATAGGATGAAACAGGTAAGCATGTCTTGTCATAGGGAGTACTTTAAACAGCACTGAGAGGAAGACTACACCAACTTGATTTATTTTGTTCAGAGCTGATGCCTGCTTTGACATGTTGAATTATAATGCAAACCAATCTACAAAATCACATAGCAATCTATAGAGCTGCTTCAGCATAGCCATGTATGACTATATTTCCTGGTTGTCTCAATTCGTGTTGCCAAGGAACTTTAGTGCACTGTCAACCTCATGTCAGGGCTGCTGCTGCAATTAGGAGAAATGTGCTGGAATTCTAGATAACGTCAAACAATTCAAAACATATATTAACAATAGTAGACTGAATTGCAACTTTGATCTAAGTTTTGTGGGAAGAAGATTAGCATGCCCATCCCATCTCATCAGTTACAGCTTGGGAAGACCCTCCTGACTCACAGTTGTGAACCATGCTCACAATCACCCATAATTTAATGATTCCTTGCTTGAATTGAAGCTACAGCTGGTCCAGAATGTGGTAGCACAAATAGTTTTGAACACACCTCAGTAGGCCCAAGTTGTACTGTAGTTGTTTTAATTATTTATAGTGAAACACAAGAAAGAAAGATGTTTCTTTCCATTTGTGTAAAATTAATGCAATCTGGTATTCTCCAGGCTTAACAGAACCAAAGCTCTTCATGAGATGGCAGATTCCTTACTTTAGGAATCTAGTTCAACAGGACATTGAAGTCCTGTTGTACCTGAGCTTTTCTAGTGTTGCCATATAGTTTGGGAAGGAGTTATGTTGCTTAAGAGGACTGTACTTGCACTAGTAAACTTGCCAGGAACATGTTGGGAGGGATTTGATCTCCATAAAAGGTTTTAATATATCTGTTTCATTTGGAGATTGCCTTGTACTGTACTAGAGCCCATGCTCCAGGATATAAACTCTAGAATTTTTCCTCCAATTATCAGGTACCTTGTTCTTTTGATGGCTTTGAGAGGCATCTGATCTATGTTGACATAGGAGTTTCTCTAACTTGAAGAACTGGGTCCTGTTCTTTATACCAGAAGCAGAATGTGTAAACCTTGGTTCTATAGTCTGCAATTTAGTTATTTGAATAGTAATCTCTCTTTGCCTTTTAGCATAACTGTAATATATAGGTAATAGATGCTATCTGTTTAACTTTGTCTAACTGCAAATAAATTAACAAGAAAATAAAATGCATAGTCAACATTACAATTATTCTACACTTCAGCACTTCCCTCCCATTTCAGTCTTCTTGAATAAATCTAAATTACGGTCCTATGGCTACTACAATGCTGCAAAATTCTTGGGAGCATTGTGACCAGTGTCCCACAGTGAGGTACAGAGGAAGATGCAGCTGCAAGATTTCGGGCTGCATCACAATCAAGTCTCAGCAAGCAGCAGGAAGATTTTTACAGCAGTATTTTTGTCTCTGTTGTTGGCTTGGCTGTAGTTGTGGTGAGCCAGGCCCAATTACTTGGGAGTATGTCTTGTGCTAAATAGAATACTAAAACTACTTCTTAGTGTCCTGTTTCAGCAAACATTGATTCCTGGTCACTCACAATCTCCAACATATATCCTGTGGCAAGAAATCAATCTGAGTTTCTCAACAAAACAACAGTCAAACAAAACAGTTTCATTCAAATTGTGGCCCAGGTTTCACAGCTGTCTTTTTTAAAAAAAAAAAACAAAAAACATTCAACATAGTTTTGTTTAGCATAACAATGATGGTGCACAATTCACCTTCATTACTAAAAGATAAATATTCTCTTTCTTGCTTTATTTGTTTATTTCCCTTTCTTATCCGCTATAGTTTAGCTCTGGCACTATTTTCTCCACCTTTCCCATCGTTTAATGAACTTGTGCTTGCGGTTCCCAGTCCTGAGACTGAATTAATGTTCGCTATTGACATAACTGTCATCTTTGCTCTCAGCTTCATTCCTGTGAGAATCAAAATTAAATCAACCCAAAGCATGGACTTTTAACAAAATTTAAAATTTTGTTTGATTAAAATAATTATGTAAAGATCTATATTTTAATAAGAAATACTATAAAAAGTATTTTAAAAATAAGTCAGAATGAAACATTTTCAGAAGAATCTGTTTAGAAACCCATGTGTAAACACAAGATCAGTGAATTTTGTATGAAAATCATCAAACTGTAAACAGACTGACATATCTATTCTGAAGCAGTATCCATTTTAGCTTTTCCTATATGCTGCATTATAAATCCCATAACTTTAAGTTAACATTGCAGTATGGTTGGAACTCAAGTACACCATTTGGGAAGGTTAATCTAGTCAGATTTCAGCTTATAACTCTGATACTTTTTGACCTGAAGAGCAAACGGTGAAACTATTAATCTACTTGGAAAGTGCTTCCAATTAATTCTTTAGCCACAGGGATGCTTGAAAGAGAGAGAGAGAGATTGTTCTTAGGTCTAAATTAAAACTTTCTAATCATCAATGGAGCTCTTTGTACCTAACCAGGCAATTTTAGAAAAAAAACAATGGAAAATGGTCTTTATTTCAGAGGTGAAAATGCAGGGGTGGGTGAATTTTTTTATAATTTTACTGGATAGGAGCTTGAACTAAAAGATGAGTTTAGTTAAACATGGGAAACACAGAAGAGAGACCTTCCAGAGCTGGCGCACATAAGAAATTCTGGCCAAATGGCCAGAAATAAAACCAGACTAAAAATACATGAGCCCAAATTTAGGATTCTGTTGGATGCTTTTGCACCAGCCCTTGTTTCTCAATAGACACTCTATTTTTTCTAGCTCACATTATCCTATTTTGCAAGGCTTGGGAAGACTCACTGTGGTCTAAGGAAGGTTACCCAGTGCTTCATAATAGCAGTTGTATTCAGGATAGACTATTCATTCTAATTAAAAAAAAGTTAATCGAATTCCGTGTAATGACTTAGGGGTATAAACATGGTTTTGAAGACATAATGAGATTCAGTGATGATTTGAATTCAAGTCTCGTCATTTCCAGTTCAACAGACTGGCTGCTATGTAGGCTTTTGCTAAATTGCTATATAATAAGAAAATGAATCATGTTACATTTCTTTTTGTATATAATGCAGGGTTATAGGATTGAGTTTTTATTGGAATTCTTGGCTAATATTTTATAAAACCCACAAAACTGCAAAGTCAGATGAATCTGCAACAGCACAATATAATCCAGTGCATTGTAAAGAAGTTAAAAAACTATCTCTTTAAGCCAAATGGAAAAGGCAGGAAAGTTTCTGCTAATTACTCTTTGCAATATTAGTTCTTAGCATTTAATGAAAAACTTCTGTATTTTTAAAACACACTGCCAAATTTAGCTTCCGAACAGCATTTTTATCAGTCAATAAACTCTGATTATTTGTACTAAACTTTATAATGCATTGAGCTGGAGTCATATAGAGATTTATGATTAAATATTACCTACCATGATTTAGGAGTAAAGCCTATAAGGCAGCAGTCTGAAGTATACTAATAGAGTGAATCTCCATGAATTTGTTGCAAATTAGTTCTGAATAAACTTGTACTTGAGCTGTCAATGAAGCATGTTTAGATCTTGTTGTTCCCTATTGTTATTTCTAAAATCATCTTCCATTTCTTTTTATTTTTCAACATAAATGCAAAAGTACTGTGTTTTTTGGCAGGTTACTATGAATGTCTTGGAGTCTGACTTCCATCTTTAGAAATAGGCCCATAGACCTTGAAGGGTGACTGGAAATTTCTCATGGACTTAAATCTATAAATCCTAAACACATGACTTTTAGATCTATGTTAATATGTTCCTTGCTTCAGGAGATCACACTGCTGAGCTTTGGCTCTTAAATTCCATCAGGAAAAACAAAATAAAGCCACAGTCTTCCTAAACAAGGAGCCAAAAGCCAGAAAAATCTTAAGAACCTTCTTTGATAAAATGCAAAGCTAGCATCCAGAATGAGAATCAAAATAGAAGCTACTTTTGAGCCTGGTCATATGAGTCTCCAGTCAGAACTAACTAGGCTGCTAGCTAAAGCCTGAATTTCACCTTTGAGTTGTGAGCTCTCCTTCGGGGAAGAAAATCTGACAGCCCTCTAAAGTAGATAAGTTCAAGAAATATATGCAATAAGGATCCCAAGAATGGAAATAACCCAACCTCATGGAATGCAGGGTAAGCATCTGTTTATATTATACCCTTATCAATTTAATAGAGTTGTGAATATACATAGAGATAATTTTGCCAAATTCCAGGGAAAGCTGTATGCAGTGACCCACACATTTAAGCCTGGAGTTCATATTTTCTCCAATCTTTGCAAGAGAGGGGATGAGAAAGAGGGATTTGTAAATATTTGATTTACTTTGAGGAAATCATCTGACTTCCTTTCCAAATGGAGGATTGTAAATCTACCCATCATTTATCATATCTGTTCAATTATTACTGGTGGACTTACAGTAGTCACTTTCTATATTTCATGCAGTAATTAATATTTTGTATATAAATTTTATGAGACTATATTCTGATATTCTTGTCTAAGGAAGCATCATGTCAGGTTGATGAACTGATTTCTCCATGGGCAAATGTTGACATGTTAATTAATGAAGCTACTATGAGAATCTGCTTCTCTTATAAGATGTTCTTTGCTGGAAGATGTTTATTTGCCAAATCTTATGAGAAGAAAAACTGTTTTATCTTCTGTATGGATTTATTCTACCTTAAGCAACCCATCTATTAACCAAAAGTAATGGTTGCTTAGTCTAATATATTGTATATTATGTGTGCTCAGATATTTTACTATTTTAGTTTATTGTTGCTCAATTAATTTTTTTGCTATGTCTCTGCAGCTGCTCATTCTAGTCTAGCTCATTTCACAGCTCACTTAAAGCAAAGGGCCTAGAACTGCATTTACCTAGGTCCTGCAGGTACATTTACCTGCATTTTTAAAAAATAAAAATGTCAATGATCCACTGCTGGATTGAGTTTTTTAAAAAGAAAAAAAGTAAAGAAAAACCTAGTGGAAATTTTGGTAAGTCGGGGAAAGAAAAATGATAATTGAAACATTTTTTTTTGTTTGATGTAGTCTGGAACTCTGCTATAGTAGAAGCTACAGCAGAAATAATAATAATAATAATAATAATACCCCCCAGTGAGGCACTACCTTGACGTGGTTGTGGGGCTTGTGTACTCTGAGGAAGATGAGAGCTATACCAGAGGTTCAAACATACTGGACAGGTCTCATCAGAGGAGTCAGACAAAGAGTGTCTCTCCCATAAAAAATATGGTGAGATGTAAATTTCAGAATGCCATACCGGCTCGGACGTCGCCCGGGTTAACAAGGTCCGCGCTAGATATTGGAGTTCCTGGATATCTGGTGAAAAATGGGTTACAGGACTCAGGACTGTTGGCTGAGCAACCAGGGCCAGCAGCTGCAGAACTACTGGAAGAAAAGGTGTCTACCCATCACAGATACACAGTGATTGAAAACAAAGAAATAATGATCTGTTACTACAGATCAAGTCCAACAAAAAGAGGATATCTAAAACGAATGCACCAGTTCTGGAAAGAACAACATCCAGAATCAGAAATAACAGAACAGAGACTAGCAGATCAACGCCGATTTATAATATGAAATAAAGTATTCACAGAAACAGAATTGGACGAACTGCAAAGGTTTACCCAGGGCAAAGAAATCAAAGCCTTATCAGAAGTAATTCAGAATGTAGAGGCAAACCAGGGGGAGTTGGCAGTGAAGGAATCCAGCAGAGATATACAACTGTTCTCATTTGGAAACCAGGCACCACTTCCTCAGGAAGAACAAAACCTTCTAACTAAAGAAATAAAAGAATTGAAACAAAGAATAACTGAGCATCTAGAACAGCACAAAAACAACAGAATAAGGCTACCTGCATTGAAACTTGTTCCAAAGAAACAGCTAGCACAAGCATTAAAAGATGCAAATACTGCAATATCAAGTATAAGCACCAATTCACTGCAAGAAACAAACCAACTAATGTACAGCATAGCTGCAGTTATAACTGAATACCTGGGATGCAAAATCAACAAAGAAGAAAAACAAACAAACAGTGCACCACAAAAATGGAAGGTTAGACTAGAAAATAAGATCAGCAAGTTAAGAACACATGCAAGCAAGCTAGAACAGATGAAAGAAAAGAAGCTGAAGAACAAGAAGACCAAAGAATACCTAATCAAGAAATACCACTTAGAAACAAGGAAGATCAAGGAAGCACTGGAAATAATAAAGCAACAAATAACAGCTATAGCCAGGAAAATCAGTAGATATGAAGCTCAAATTGCAAACTATAGGCAGAACCTCCAATTTCAATCCAATCAGAAACGTTTCTACCAATCCATCAATGGAGAAACTGCAAAGAATCAGTCAGTACCTGACAAGGAAGAAACAGTGCAGTTCTGGAAGCAGATATGGGATAACCCAAAGAAAATACAACAAGAATGCGGCTTGGTTAAAAGAGGTGGATGCAAATAAAACAGAAGTTGAAATGAAAGAACTAGTAATAACAACAAAAATGGTAGAAAAAAGAGCAAAGAAAATCAAAAATTGGTCAGCACCAGGTGAAGGTGAACTGCATGGGTTTTGGTTGAAACATCTAACTGTTATACACCCACTCATTGCCAAGCAGTTCAACAATATACTACAAGGAGGAGAAATTGAAAAGTGGCTAACAACTGGGAAAACCTACCTAATAATGAAAAATCCAGCAAAAGGGGCAACACCAGGTAACTACAGGCCAATTACCTGCTTACCAACAACTTTCAAATTACTAACTGGTGTGGTAGCTGATGCAGTACAACAGCATCTAGTTGAAAACAATCTCTTTCCACCTGAGCAGAAAGGAAACCGCCCCAATAGCAGAGGAACAAAAGATCAACTCCTAATAGACAAAATGATCTTGGAAAACTGCAAGAGAAGGAAGACCAACCTGAATGTGGCATGGATTGACTACAAAAAGGCATTTGACTCTCTGCCACATGACTGGATAATCAAGTGCCTAGAAATAACAGGAGTCAGTAGAAACATCAGAAAATTGTGCAAAGATCGATGGCACAATGGAAGACACAGTTGCAGATCAATGGTGAGAGACTGGGAGAGGTTAATATCAAGAGAGGAATATTTCAAGGAGATTCATTGTCACCATTACTATTTGCTATTGCACTGTTTCCTCTGTCAACAATACTGAATAACTCAGGACATGGCTATCAAATATCAAAAACATCTACCAGACTATCCCATCTCCTTTACATGGATGATCTGAAGCTGTATGGAAAAACATCATCTGAAATAGAATCGCTGCTCAACACTGTCCGTATATATAGCCAAGATATTGTAATGGAGTTTGGCTTGGACAAATGTGCCACACTTACTATCAAACAAGGAAAAATAGTGAAAACTGAAGGAATCAAGATGCCCCACGAAAATAACATTAAGAGTCTGGATGAGGAAGATTACTACAAATACTTGGGTATCCTTCAAGCTGACAACATCAAGCACACTGAAGTCAAGAAAAAGATTAGAGGTGAATACATCAAGAGAGTGAAGAAGATCTTAAAGTCCAAACTCAATGGAGGAAATACCATAAAGGCAATCAACACCTGGGCAATTCCAGTCATTAGGTACACAGCTGGAATAGTGGACTGGACTCAAGCAGAACTAAAAGCAATGGATAGGCAGACCAGAAAAATAATGACAATGAATCATGCCCTTCATCCACGCAGTGACATTGATAGACTTTATCTACCAAGGCAAATAGGTGGGCGTGGAATGCTACAAGTACATCAGATGGTTGAAGAAGAAAAAATGGCTTTGGAAGAATATCTGAAGAACAATGATGAAGATGCACTGAAATTAGTATATCAGGAAGGCTTACTGACTACTGGAGAGACCAAACAGGCCTACAAGAAAGACCAAATGAAGAACAGAATAGAGGCATAGGAAGACAAAGCACTACATGGCCAATACATTAAAAAAATAGCTGGGAAAGCAGTTATTAACAAGATCTGGCAATGGCTAAGAGCAGGAAAATTGAAGAAAGAGACCGAGGGACTAATTCTGGCTGCACAAGACCAAGCCTTAAGGACAAATGCATATAAAGTCAAAATTGAGAAGACAGCAACAGACAGTAAGTGCCGCCTATGCAAAGAAGCTGAAGAAACAGTGGACCACCTGGTAAGCTGCTGCAAGAAGATTGCACAGACTGACTACAAGCAGAGGCATGACAAAGTAGCAACAATGGTGCATTGGAAGATCTGCAAAAAATATCATTTGCCTGTAAGCAAAAACTGGTGGGATCATAAAATAGAGAAAGTCATAGAAAATGATGAAATTAAACTGCTCTGGGACTTCAGAATTCAAACAGACAAGCACCTGCAACATAACACCCCAGACTTAACAATTGTCGATAAGAAAGACAAAAAGTCTGGATAGTGGACGTGGCAGTGCCTGGAGACAGCAGAATAGACGAGAAAGAATTGGAGAAGATAACAAAATACAAAGACCTACAAATAGAAATAGAAAGACTGTGGCAAAAGCAAGCAAGGGTAGTACCAATAGTCATAGGCGCCTTGGGTGCAATCCCAAAACAACTGGAGCACCACTTGAACATCATTGGCATTGACAAATTTGCCATTAGTCAATTGCAAAAGGCGGCCTTACTAGGAACTGCTTCCATCCTGTGACGATATCTGTAATACCATCAAACATCCGCATCTGCCTATCCGAGGTCCTGGGTAAGGACTCAATAGGTAGACAAAATGCCAAATCCAGTCTGAACATCTGGCTGACTGTGCTATGATCCATAATAATAGTAGTAGTAGTAGTAGTAGTAGTAGTAGTAGTAGTAGTAGTAGTAGTAAAATTTGAAGGGACCTTGGAGGTCATCTAGTCCAACCCCCTGCTCAGGTAGGAAACCCTATACCATTTCGGACAAATGGCTGTCCAGTCTCTTCGTAAAAACTTCCAGTGTTAGAGCATTCACTGCTTCTGGAGGCAGGTTGTTCCACTGGTTAATTGTTCTAACTGTCAGGAAGTTTCTCCTTAGTTCTAAGTTGCTTCTCTCTTTGGTTAGTTTCCATCCATTGCTTCTTGTCCTGCCTTCAGGTGCTTTGGAAAATAGCTTGACTCCCTCTTCTTTGTGGCATCCCCTGAGATATTGGAACACTGCTGTCATGTCCCCCTCATCCTTCTCTTCATTAAACTGGACATACCCAATTCCAGCAACCATTCCTTATATGTTTTAGCCTCCAGTCCCCTAATCATCTTTGTTGCTCTTCTCTGTACTCTTTCTAGAGTCTCAACATCTTTTTTACGTCGCGGTGACCAAAACTGGATGCAGTATTCCAAGTGTGGCCTTATCAAGGCATTGTAAAGTGGTATTAACACTTCACGTGATCTTGATTCTATCCCTCTGTTAATGCAGCCTAGCACTGTGTTGGCCTTTTTGGCAGCTGCAGCACACTGCTGGCTCATATTTAGGTGATTGTCCACTAGGACTTTGAGGTCCCTCTTACAGTTACTACTATTGAGCAAGGTACCCCCTATACTATAACTATGCATTTGGTTTTTCTTGCCTAAATGTAGAACCTTGCTTTTTTCACCATTGAATTTCATTTTGTTAGATAGTGCCCAGTGTTCAAGTCTGTCCAGATCCTTCTTTATCTTAAGCCTGTCTTCTGCAGTGTTGGCTATTCCTTCCAGCTTGGTGTCATCTGCAAATTTGATGAGTTTCCCATCTATCCCCTTGTTCAAATCATTGATGAAGATGTTGAAAAGCACTGGGCCCAGAACAGAGCCCTGGGGCACCCCACCACACTTCTCTCCATGTAGATGCAGTTCCATTGAGGACCACTTGCTGAGTACGGCCGATCAGCCAGCTGCGGATCCATCTGATGGTGATGCTATGTACGCCACATTTTTCTGTCTTGTCAAGTAGTAGGTTGTGATCTACTTTATCAAATGCTTTACTGAAGTCCAAGTAAATTATGTCCACAGCATTCCTCTGATCCACTAATTTTGTCACTTGGTCAAAGAGTGCAATAAGATTTGTCTGGCATGAACTATTTTTGACAAACCCATGTTGGCTTTTAGTAATGACTTTATTAAGTCATTATATTAAGGAGCAAACTGAAAAATTGCAAGAAAAGAACTTTTTGGTATGTGCTGGAAATGTGTATGTGTACGTTTTGATGCTCTAACTTTGGAAATGGCATTAAGTTTTTTAAAAAGTATGTTTAAGTAAATAAAGAACAGTGAAGGGCTATTTTGACACAAACATTGTAACTCTACACTACAGGGGGTATTGTTGGCTGCTTTGGAGAAATTTGAGTGTGTCCTTCATTGTTTTGCCCAATGTCCTATGAGACATAGTACATAGTAAGGAAAGGGATTCATACTTGCCTTCCTGGCGTGGATGGGAGAGATAAACAAAAAATATCCTCCAATCAGAAGGCATGTAAAACATCTAAATATCTAAAATTAACACCTATCATAATTTTACTGCTGGACCAAACATGGAAATGAAATGCATTGGGTTCAATTCACTAAATAATCCCAAAGATGATTTTTCAGGAGGCAACTGATGACAACAATGACCTGGATGACTGAGAATCTCCATAGTCACAAAATAATCCCGTGAGTAACCAAGTAAACCCTAAAACATGGTGAGTTCATAAGATTTTGTTCTGATGATCTCTCTTTGTAAGCACCCATTTATTGAAGAAACCATCAATCTCTTTCCTCATTTTTTTTCTTTGAAAATTTATTTCATATGCTCATGAAAAGCTCACAAGAGTTCAATATGAATATATTGAGCCAAATCTTAAGAACAGTCAATAAACAATAAGAGGACATTTTATCTTCATTATTGAGTCTGTAGGCATTTTTTTCAAGCAATAATTTGTTCTTTCAATCAAAAGCAGCAAAGCTAAATCCATTTAAATAGGAATATTGCTTATTTTAGTTTGAAATACAGAATATTGAATCAATACGTTTTGATACATTTTCTTATATGTAAATATATGACTTAAATATTACTAGGTTGTATGATTTAGCTGCTAATTATCCCAGTACTGCCAAATGGTAAGCATTCAACCATACCTTGATAGGTATCTAATTTGTTTGAATTGAAAGGTAGGTTATAATTTTAAAATAGATTTTTTGGAGAGTTCTGTTCTGAAATATAAAATAATAACAAATGTCTCCTGTTAAATATAATGAACACTTTTCCTTTATGTATGTCCAAATTTTAGTTCAGTCTGGAATTTCTTGTGAAGTTTTTCTTAAAGGCCAGTATTTCAAAACATTAAATATTTTGGATTATCACAACTTAGAGGGCAATCAATGAAAACATATTTGCACATTTATAATCCCTAAATGTTGATTCCTTTAAATAAATGCATGTCTTCCCTTGCAGAATAAACTCCGCTGCCATTATATTGATAGATTGGAGACAAAGTAGAACCATTAAGTGCATACATCCAAAAGAAGCAACTGTCCACTGCTCCAAGCTGGAACATGAAGACTGCAAGCCAAAGGGAATAAAAACACTTGAGTGTTATTTTCGCTCTTTTTACAGTGAGAAGTATGCATATTTCAAAAAGACATGGAAAGATGGGAAGTAAAAGCCCTTATTTTCTTTCAGGCAAGCGAACTGGTAGTTTTCATGCACATATCTTTTATTTGTTTGTTTGCTTATTTATTTAAACATATAAGGAAAGTGAAAGAGATATGGATGTGGGTAAGGAGGCCTCCCAAATTTTATTGCAAGCCATATTGTGTTCTTAATTCAAGACATAATACATTAATTTTACATTAAAATGTTCTTATTGTTCGGTATTCTGAGAGATGCAGCACTTCCAAATATATTGTATGTGTTTGGAATTGTGTGTGTGTGTGTGTGTGTGTGTGTGTATAATTTCTTCCAAGTACATACAGTACCTAACCATCCTTTGCTAGTCTACTCTTAGACCTGTTTCCTTTATAACATTCCCCGTTCGCTTTAATATCAATTGTATTTACTATTATTAAGCCACTGTGGGGAATTTGTTTTCTGCATCAAGTCACTTGTGGTATGATATCTATCTATCTATCTATCTATCTATCTATCTATCTATCTATCTATTTATGAGACTTATATACCGCTTTAAGTGCAAGCACTCTCTAAGCGGTGTACACCAGTAAGCAATGTATATATATATATATATATATATATATATATATATATATATATATATTTACATTGCCCCAACAATCTGGGTCCTCATTTTACCTACCCCGGAAGGATGGAAGGCTGAGTCAACCCTGAGCCGGTGAGATTTGAACCGCTGACCTGCTGAACACAGTCAGCTAAAGTGGCCTGCAGTACTGCACTCTAACTGCTGCGCCACCTCGGCCCTATAAAAATTTAAATATTTAAAATGCTGTTAGTGGCTTTTTTGTTCTTTTTATGTGATGCAGAAATGGTTTTCATTTTCCTTTTTCATCCATTTTACATGTGTACTTTGCCTGTAAGATGGAGATCCCAGTGAGTGAAAGATTGTAAGGAATGCAAAGCTTTATAAAATTTATAAAACCTGAATTCTGTTGCTAGCAATAGACAACTGCTGATCAGCTCTTAAAAGACAATAGTAAACAAATTTGCAATTTTTGTTTTCATGACTGTATTCCAAGCTACATGGTTTTTATAATAACACTTTTAGCTAGAAATATAAAACTTTATAGAAATTCATCTGCTTGAGAATGGAGAATTCCAGAGACCTAAAGAACATTCAATTTCCCTTACCTAAGCTAGGATGGCACAGCCCATGTACTTTGGCATGGTGTGATGGGCAAATAGATCGTTTTATATTTCTCCAGACTGAAATGGGAAATAAAAAGAGATTTGTTTGATTTTAGTATGTCTTTCTGGGGTGGCTTGGAGTTCTTTATCTACTGCCCATGCTTTTAAAAGTATTAGGAAAGGGAAATAGAATAGAATTAGAATTAGAATAGAGCTAGAAGGGACCTTCGAGGTCTTCGAGTCCAGCCCCCTGCTCAAGCAGGAGAACCTATACCAGCTCAGACAAGTGACTGTCTAGCCTCTTCTTAAAAATCTCCAGTGATGGAGCGCCCACGATTTCTGGAGGCAAGCTGTTCTACTGGTTAATTGTCCTCACTGTCAAGAAGTTTCTCCTTAATTCCAGGTTGCTTCTCTCTTTGATCAGTTTCCAACCATTGTTTCTTGTCTTGCCCTCTGGTGTTTTGGAGAATAATGTGACCCCCCTCTTCTTTGTGGCAGCCCCTCAAATACTGGAACACTGCTATTGTGTCTCCCCTATTTCTTCTTTTCTTTAGACTAGCCAAACCCAAGTCCTGCAGCTGCTCTTCATATGTTTTAGTCTCCCGGCCTTTGATCATCTTAGTTGCTCTTCTCTGAATTTTTTTCAAACTCTCAACATCAAAATTGGCTGCAGTATTCCAGGTGTGGAATACTTACTAGGATTTTATAAAGCGGTACTAATACTTCATGTGATCTTGATTCTATACCTCTGTTTATACAACCCAAGATTTTATTAGCTTTTTTTGCTGCTGTTGCACATTGCTGGCTCATAGTCAAGTGATTGTCACCAAGGACTCCAAGGTCCCTGTCACAGTTGCTGTTTTTAAGCTAAGTCTCACCTAATTGATTTTTCCTGCCTAAATGTAAGACTTTGCTTTTTTCCACATTGAAACTCATTTTGTTGGATAGGGCCCATTTTTCAAATATGTCAAGATCTTTTTGGATCCCGAGTTTGTCTTCTGGGGTTGTTGGCTACTCCTGCCAGTTTAGTGTCATCTGCAAATTTGATGAGTCCCCCTTCCATTCCCTCATCTAAGTCATTTATGAAGATATTGAAGAGAACTGGGCCTAAGACGGAACCTTGTGGTACGCCATTGCTTCTCTCCATGTGGATGTAGTGCCATTGAGGACTACTTGTTGATTACGGTTTGCCATTCAGCTACAGATCCATCTGGTGGTGATTTTGTCTATTCCACCTTTTTCTAGCTTACCAAGGAGTAGGTTGTGGTCTACTTTATCAAGTCCCTTACTGAAATCTAAGTATACTACGTCCACAGCATTTCTCTGGTCTACTAGTTTAATCACTTTATCAAAGAATGAAATAAGATTGGTTTGGCATGATCTGTTTTTAACAAACCCGTGCTGGCTACTAGTTATAACTTTGACTTGCCCTTTAATTTACATCAGTGCAATGTTTGGGAAAGGGTTGATGCTGAGGAATGAATTTGGTCTTTGAATGGCAGCTGCACTTTCAAAAATGGATAAGCATTGAATCTGATTTAACTTAAACACTTTTTACCATAAATGATTTTGGACACATGGTTTATTTGCTAAATTGTATCTGACTATTTGCAACCCCCATGAACATATTAGCAGTTACAAATCAGCACATTAGGAGACTACTTCAGTACAATTGCAAAAGCAACTGAATCTTCCAACTTTTCCCATACACTGCCATGAAAATGGAGCAGTCCTTTGCTTTCAATGTGTTAGGGAAGGGCCCTTATTGAGTGGGTGGGGAGACAACCATTGAAATCAGATAATCTCCAATATCACATTTTATTGCATTAGATAATGCTATGTTGCCAACTTCATTTTGAACAGTCAGTTTTAAGCAGATGATATAGAGAGCAACTACATACCATGCAGTCTTCCTGAGAACTTTGAAGCTAGCCTGCCATCTTCCATTGTGGTGGAAAATGCTTTTCCATCACCAAAGTTCAAATAAGAGTCAATGGCAAGATCAGCTGCAATAAGCAGTGGTCTCCTTTTGGCTTTACTTTTAAGTATCATGGCAATCTCTCCCATTGTGTATACGATGTAACTACTTTTCCTAGTATGATATTGTCCAAATCCCCCAGACAGCATGGCTAAGCTCCTATGTGATGGATGTAGTAGGCTAGGATTATCAGGACGAGGTGGGTACATTCCAGAGGAATAAGAGACAATTCAATCTAGTTATTTGGCATGAAAGAAAAAGCACGAAGACAGTCCATTCCTAATAGTTATCTGGGTATATGGTATATAGAAATAGTAAAGTGCTTAAACTGGCAAGATTCTGTCTATATCCTGTGTGCACAATTATTAGATAAGAGAGTATTTTGACCATATCATTTTCATGCATATTTTCCACCTGCAAATTTAAGGAAGACTGGCAGTAGGTTTGGGAGTTGATTTTGAATCCATCCTTAACCTGAAAAGTTCCAACAAGCTCATCTTTAATAATACTAGCCCATACCAGCACCCCACCTCCACTCTGCATCTAAGTCGAAGTAGAGTTTTATGCCTGTTACTGATCCAGCCATGGGCCCATCCATCTGGTCTGTCAAGAGTTATCTCATCCATAAAACCTTTGAAAAAATCTCTCTTCAGATATTTCTTGCCATTTCAACTTATGTGTCTTGTTCAGTGGTGGTTGGGTTTCAGGCTTCCTTACCTTGGCCATGTCTCTGAGCACTGAGCACCTTGTACTTCTGGGCACTCCAGGTAGGTTTTAGTTCTGGAATATGACAGCACTGGAGGATAATGAATTCCTGGTAGCTTCATGTTTGATTCTTCTCAAATCTTTGGCCATTAGTGTGTCTCTTTTTCTCAACACGTTTCTTGTGACCCAGTTGACTATTTGCAACAAAATGTTTGATGCTTCTGTGATCACATCCCAATATCCTAGTAATTTCAAAAGTATTGCATCCTTCTGAAAGACTTTTTACAATTTTTGACTTTTCTGAATCAGTTAAATCTCTTTTTTGACCTATTTTGCCTAAGGAAAAGAAGCTACCTAATAATTATGCACACCTTGATATAGGGTGTTGATCTCCTTAGACCACACCGTCCCTCATTACAAAATATACCTCACCTGATATGCTTATATCCACTAAGCATTCAAGTTTATACAGCCTGCAGGTGGAAAATATGCATGAAAATGATGATATGGTCAAAATACTCATTTGCCTAATAATTGTGCCCATAGGGTAGGTCTAGAAATAATACAGTACTCAGCTTGGAAGAATCACCATGTGTCATTCATGGTTTTGCAGCCTGATCTCCTTGGAGTTGAAGCATAGGGTCCATAGTACCCAGATAATCAATCAACAGATTATAAGGTTACCATAAGTATGGTCTTTTAATGTATGGATAGGGAGACATTGTCATAAATCTTTTTTAACCTTCCCAGCAGGGGTATTTCCTCCCCTTATTTTGAGTATTTAGCATTTTAACCTTCCACTTCACATTATTTGAAAAGTCAGTTGCTGCTATAATCTTCCCAGTGAGTGAAGACAAGTTGATTTTGCAGTAAGCCACAGGAGGCAGATTAGAAGGGAATAAATGTGCATTTCAACTTCTGTAAATAATATAGTTATGAGACTAAGTCTTTTCCTCCTATGGCGAAACATCTTCAAGTACAACAAGTAATTAAAAAACACTGCTGTGTGTAACATTTGATTTTCTGGGTTAAAAAGAACTCTATCCAGAAAAAAAATAGACTGGTGTGTTTGTATGTGTTTAATTTCCAACTGTAACTGAAATACATTGATAAAATAATATTTATATAATACATACATGCAAACGTAGCTAAATGTATAGCCTGTGCAGAAGATCACTAGCATTAGCATCACTAGTACAATGCCATTTCTGGAGAAAATTGTGCAGATTTAAATTTTTAAATCATGGATAATAATTGGCAGTTTACTTCCCCAATATTTGCTAGAACAGTAATTGAGCTATAGACGTTATTAAAGATGAGAAAACTGTTTTGAATTCAAAGTGGTTCAAGTCTGAAGTAGACAGTCCTGTTTTCCATGTAGGCACTCCAGTGTTGAAGCATTCCGAGCTTGAAACACATTAAAGTTTAAATAATAGTGCTGATCATGAAACTGATCAAATCTTGTAATTGCTTTTATATGATTAAGAATTGGATTTATAAATGTTGAATTTTTATTTAAATAATTTTACAACTTGATATGCGTAAGTTACTGTATATCCTGTTAATTGTAGACTTGCTTCACTTGATTGCAAAACACAAGTT